TTTGGTTAAGGTAGATTATCATTTACAGTGTAATCAGTGAGGGGATTCTGCAGACTGTTGAGGGTTCAGCCTCCTGATGAGTCGGTGAAACTCCGACGAAACAGTTTGTCACAGCCCCTCGTTTGTTGTCCTCTTCTCTCTCCCTGCCTACGGTTTACCGGGCAGTTCTGTTTGTGACGATATATATATATATAACCACCTCTAGTCTTCGTCACTAAGCATTTGAAACTTTACGCTGGTTATCATTCATTTTGAATGACTAGCACAATTCGTAGGGATCTGTTCTATAATTGCGTATCTTTGAATTTTGACTATGATTTCTAAAGGTCCCAAGTAAAGTTTTATCATGGAACCCGAAAACTTCGGAATCGCACTACTATAGCCATGTATATTGAAGACCCTTTCTGAGAACTAGTTTTTGCTACTTTTAAATTGGTGATATGAGAAAGTGGTGGGAGTTTCCAAACGTTGATTAGCGCAAGGGGCAGGGGAACATAATTGGAACAGACTTATTAGTAGTTATTACTGACCTGCACTTTCATCAGCAGATTGTTCTTAAAGATGTAGGGTGTTTTCAGGGGGTACTGCATATTTTTGAAAAGGCCCTGATTTTCCAAATTGCGAGTTGCATTAAGTGGTTCGGGATTTAACTGTAGTTGGCTGGATCGGATTGTTCCTGCCAGAGGGCTGAACGGTAAGAAGGGGGAGAGGGGAGCTCCATCTTGCAGGGGCATCACAAGGTGGGGGGTAAATGTCTCAAAGAGGGTAGGGGGGGAGTAGGGGTTGCCCTATTCTGGGGCAGGGGCTGGTGTGGGTGAACATTAGTCCCAGCGGAGGCAGAAATGGGCAAGGGGCGGGGGAGGATGCTTTAGGTGGCAACTCCATGCCCCTGACCTGGGGAAAGGGGGGCAGAGGGTTGGTACTATATTGGAGCGGAGGGAGAGCGGGAGGCTCGCCTCGGCAGAGGCAGGGTAGGGCTGACCTGGGGAAAGGGGGGCAGAGGGTTGGTACTATATTGGAGCAGAGGGAGAGCGGGAGGCTCGCCTCGGCAGAGGCAGGGTAGGGCTGAGGGGGGAGCGGTACGGGGAGGGAGAGGACCTCTCACGAAGAATCGTAACATCCAGATTAGTATTTCTTGAATTTTCTTCCATTTGGTTTGCCTCTCGAGGAGATGGTAGGAATAGCTGCTATCTGCCATGATCCTGCGGTGGTCAAAAATTTGGTGACCCTCGAAGACCGATGCTGGAGCAACGCTGGCGGGAGCTGGAGCCAGGTGGTGCAACTCTGTGACCTAGCTTTGTGGGGGCGTGAGGTCTGGTAGAGAGAAAAGGGGGGCTGTTTGCGGGGGCAGTCCCAGTGGCCATCAGGGGTCGTAACTGGAGCAATTCTGGTAGAGAGATAAGGGGGGCAGTCCCAGTGGCCATCAGGGGTCGTAACTGGAGCAATGCTGCCCGGTGCTGGATCAAGGTGGTGCGACTCTGTAACCCAGCCTGATGGGAGCATGAGGCCTGGAAGAGCTCCGCTTTGTGTTGAAAACAGCCATGCTGGTGGTAGTCCTAGGTGGACTGAATAGGTTTCACCTACCTGATTATGGTTGGGAGAGTTTGTGACACACATATTCTAGTGGCCTGAATAGGTTTCACCTACCTGATTATGGTTGGGAGAGTTTTTGACACACATATTCTAGTGGCTTGGTAGAGTTTGTGTAGTTGACTACGAATATTTCCGAGTTCTTTTTTTTCTTCAATTATTCTTGGTCGAAGGTGGGTAATGGCCCCAGTACTAGGGCCGGTAGTTCTTTTTTTGTATTCTGATAAGGGATGCTTAGCCGAAGCCGGACGGTTCTTCTCTTTTTGTATTCTGACAAGGGATGGTTAGCCGCAGCCGGGTATTGCCGCGGTAGTTCTTTTTTTGTATTCTGATAAGGGATGGTGGCGTGTTGCTCCCCACGAATAGATTGGAGCATCGTCAAGCACAAAAAAAAAAAAAAAAAAAAAAAAAAAAAAAAAAAAAAAAAAA